CGGGTACCTGCTCTGGATCCGAGCTAACAACCAACCTCGCTGTAGATGGCTCAGAGCTTTCTTCTTCCCCACTGCTGACTGAGACTGGTGTTTTCTTTTCACAGTGCTGCTCGGCGAGGGGAGGAGGCTCGGCTGTGCGCTGTAAAGGTCTTGCATAGCCCTTTGTTCGGACTGTACTCTCAAGTCAGCCAATGAGACCTCAGCTGCCCACAGTGACAGGTTCCAGACGCTCCATGCAAGTGCTCCAAGCAGCGGATGCTGCTGGACCAACCGAACCGCCCACACCAGACGGAAAAAGAGGCTTGTGTGCCAATCTGGCTTCAGAATGGCCCTAAGAGTTGCGAAGCGAAAACAACAGAAGTCGGAGGTCAACCGAACTTCAAAAGAAGCAAAGAAAGAAAAAAGGAGTGTTTAGAGCCCACGCGCAATGCCCTAATGCAGACAGTCGTCATGTCATCTGCGCGAGGCCTATACCTGGGCAAGGCAGAGCTTCCGACAGATCACGTCCATGTTCACTTCTTTTTTTTCACAAGTGCGGACGCCATGCAGGCAGGGTGCCCAGATCCGTTGAAGGAAAAGGAAACACCAGATGATGATGGAGAAGGAAACACAAAACCCCAAAGCAAACCAAAAAACACTGACCCAACAACCAACAAACAACAAAAAGACGGCCAGAGGCCCAGGAGTGTTTCCTCTATGCGGAAGTGAAATAGGCAAGAAAACTTGGCTGCATACTGTCTATGGCCTGAATTCGCAAAATAAAACTGTCAGGAGAGGTCAGCGCAGGAGCAGAGTGTAACGAAGCCAAACAAAGGGGCTTCGTTCCACCCTAAAAGCTGCTTTGTCGAAAGGCCACTGTCTCGAGTGGCAAGACCTGATGACAGAGGTTCTTTGCAGGACCGTTCTGATTGTCAGCAAGACTGATTCTTGTCCAAGGAGGTCAGTTACAGTGCCAAGCTCGCCATGGAAAAGTCCCTTCTTGTTGCACGACCCTTTCAACTGATTGCACGAACGAAAAGGGAGGCGTATCGATGTTCAGGCAGTGGCGGCAGCTGCAAACAAGGGATTTCGCTGACAAAGGTGCTGCATGCCCCCCCCCCTGGAGGGAGGTCTCCGGCTTCACTGGCCCGTCTGCCCATTCTCAGAGTGCTGTGCTCTGGAACGAGTTGGAACCATCACGGATGGAGCCTGCCACCAGCTGTAGGAGCCGTCATGAGGCAATAGAATGTGCGACTGGCCCAACCATCACTGCTCCACTGTGAAAGCCATGATGGATGGTGCTACGCTAGCCACTCCACAGGCAGGAGTCCTGCCAGGAAGCTTCTACGCCAGTGGCATTCGACAGGTGGAGTTAGGCAGTGATGCATGCTTCATTGGTCACCGGGCGTGTGAGAGTTGCAACTGCTCACCCTGTGAACATCTCGGGCACTGAAATCCAAACCCTCCACATGCACACCTTCTCACAGTGTCAAAGCTTGGAGACAGTCAAACTGCCATCCTGCCTGCGTGAGATCCAAGCAGAGGTTTTCATTGGCTGCAAAGCCCTGGTGAACCTCACGCTCCCGGGCGGCATTCTTTTTGAAGGGTATAGGGCTTTTGGCAACTGTGCCGAGCTTTCTCCCTGGGTTACGCTGGGAACAAATCAGAGGCATGGCGATGTCCTTCAATGCCTTCGAGGAATGTGTCAAGCAGCCAGAGTCGTTGTTTTTGCCAGCAGATTTCAACTGGATGGGTCCAGTGGCCTGTGAGCATTGTAAAAGGTTGCGGGTAGTTGACACACGAGCATTTGCTGGCTGTGCACAGCTGTGCACGCTCACCAGAGTGGGAAGAAAAACAACTTGGAGAGGTACTTACGCAGAGCACGATGCATTCGAGTTGTGCACGCAACTTGCACTCCCAAAATGGATCCGGCTCCTTCCCAAGCCAACCGACGGCCATGAAGAGTGGGCTGATTTCATGAGAAGCTGCGCAGAATCGAACTGCAGAGAAGCTTGACCACTCAGACCTGCGTCCGCATGCAGGTTCTGAGCAGGCCACATCCGGCCAATTGACTTGCCGACACTGCTGCCTATACTGAGTAGCTAGACAGCACCCAGGGCTGCCTCCCAAGAGGTGGTCTTGGAAGAGTACAGATGTACAGTTCTTCAAACTAGGAATAGCGGCGTTTCACTGTTTCACGTAGTTCATGGGGCGTGCATGTTTTCACGGATTCAACAGCACTCGAATTGCAATACGGAGATGCTGAGCTTGTCGAGGCTTGTCAACAGGGTCCTGCCTGTCAATATTCCTTGAGGGCAACGCAAGGTCACGTCGCTTCGTCATTGTTGCTCCCGTTTGCCATTTTGGAGCCGCTGTCATGGAGCGCACGCTTGTCACCGCCTCCCCCCTTTGGGGGGGGGGCTTAGGAGGGGGGTCCGCTTGTCTTGGTTCCTCCCGTCCTATGTCCTCTGCAGGTCATGACTTTCGTAAGTTTGACAATCGACTCCTTTGAGTATCACTCTCCCACGACAAGCCCTTAGTGCAGAGCTAATCGTGCTCTACCATTGTGCTCTTCGCATGCTTTCCTTGGGATTTTGAACACAGTGAGTCGAAAACATTAATGACCATCCCCTGTCTCAATCGGGTGTGCTGCAAATTATGCATCCGAAGCTTGAAAAAAGCAAGCTGTTACATGCTGGTGCCGTCATGTGCCAGATTGACGATGCCTACTTGGAACACACTGAATCTGCCTGAGGCAAAGTCGTGCTCTTAGATATAAGTCTTGATTCGCCTTGGCACAGTGATTTCGATTGCAATGTTCCTCACTCCTGCACACGTTTGAACACCCTTGACACCCTTGATGCAGACTGGTCAGCACCAACATCGTCACACAGGTACTCACTGCCCGCAAAAAGGAAGCTCGCTACCTCCTGATCCTCAAGAACTGAGCGCAGACAGAAGAATGAATTCAATGCCCCGTTTCACCTCGCTTTCAAGACAGTCGCTTCGGCTCTGACAGCCCTGATGAGATACGAGCCCGGCTTGTTCGTTTTTGGTGTTTGGGTGTTGTTTTGGTTTGTTGTTTGGTTGTGGTTGTTTCTTTGTGCCTTGTTCTGATGCTTGGCTCGTATCTCCATAGTATCCCCATTTAATTCAATCAAGGTGACTTGTGCCTCTCGGCACACATAGCGCCTCCACCCGTGCAAAAAAAGTTGTACCTGCCCAGAGGAAGTTGGCAGTGTAGCCAGTGCCAGAAGTTATGCTTATCTGAGCCTGGCGGCGGCATTTTTTCTGGTTGCGTGGCTTTTTGTCGCTGGCGTTGGTGTTGGTTGTGCCATGCACCTGCCACAAATCGTGTGGGCACAGGCGACCCAGCAACCAGCGACCAGGCACACTGAGGGCTTTGCAAATCGTCCTACAGAGCCGCAGTGAGGCTGAGTGCGACTTTCCGGCAGTGGCGGCGAGGAGCAAGTTGAATGGGAGTGAGTGAGGTGAGTGAGGTGAGTGAGGTGAGTGAGTGAGTGAGTGAGTGAATGAGTGAGTGAGTGAGTGAGTTGGGTGAGTGAGTGAGTGAGTGAGTGAGTTGGGTGAGTTGGGTGAGTGAGTTGAATGAGTCAGTTGTGTCAGTGAGTTGAGTGAGCGAGTTGTGTGCGTGAGTTGAATGAGTGAGTTGATGTTGTTGGTGGATGTTGCTTGGTGGATGTTTGTTGTTGGTGGATGTTGTTGGTCAATGTTATTGGTTCTTGTTGGTGGTTGTTGTTTGGTGGATGTTGTTGGTGGGAGGAAGACAGAAGGGAGGAGCACTAAAAGCAAAAACCCCACACGTCAAGTGGGGAAAAAAACATGATCACCTTTTTCATGTTTTGCATAAATTCCTTTCTTTGAAACGGGGCATGCATGTGCCTGTTGGTGCCCATTTGCCAGCTGGGCTAGTGGTGCCAACGAGCAGTTTTGGTGCAGACAAATGCATTTTTTGCGTTGCCAGGTTTCGGATTCTGCAGTTTGTTGTTGAAACAATTGTGGCAGATATGCAAACGCGTCAGATCTACAGTTTATTTGGTTTGCTTTATGAACAGAAACATTGTTTTTGTGAAGTCCCCCAGCAGGGCTAGGCTGTGTTTGAGGTAGGTAAGCTACTAATAATTTAAGCAATCTTTAAGGCTTGGACGCTTTGGTTTTTTGGAAAGCCGGACATTTTGGAGTTTGTGCTGTGCAAGTTGTTGAATGCATCATCCACAGTTTTCGGTTCGTTGTATCAGGGTGACAATCAAAAGGACCTTTGCTATGAGAATAGGATGAAGAATTGTGGAAATCAATGCAATGCAAACATGTACTGGTTCTTTGGACTCTCATTCACAAGTTTCAGTCTATTACTAGAACTATATGTTGCACTTGGCCGAAGATGCTTGTCCAGGTGCTTGGCTGTGCATTTGCATGTTGCACTTGGTCATTTTACGTATTTTGTCCACAGGTTGGAAAACGATATGTTTCCGAACAACGCGACATCGACCCACTCTTCGGAAAGTCTATGCTGGAGCAGTGGCCGTGGTTTCCAGACTGGATCATTCACCTATAAAATTGCAAACTTTGTTTTGTGACTATAAGGTGAGTACTGTGCAGTTGTCGTGAATTCGTTACAGGAGCTCCTATCCAGAAGCAAAGTCTTCCGAGACACCCATGAAGAGCACTTTGGAAACAATATTTCTTGTTGGTGCACTCATTGTGATTTGTGTCGATGATTTCTTGATTTCTCCAAGGTTTATCCGTGATCTCATTGTGTCATGCAACCGCCGAGCGGCCTGGTTGCAGAATAGCTGAATCCTGGACGATGGATTGGTTTGTCACCGGGTCACCTGGATACTTGTTGAAACACGAGATGCAGCCTGTAAAACCTATTTTTGAAGCCACCTGATGCAGGAGTATCCAGTTAACCGCTACCTTATGGAAGAGGGCATGAAGGGCGACTCTATGTGACGTTCTCAGGTATTTGACATGGGAGTTCATTTTTTTTGTTTTGATTTCAACTTGCTGCAAACCCTGTCATTGAAATCACAAAGAATTGAATGAAATAGGACTGTTGGAATTCCGTCTCCCTGATGTGTTTTGTTGGCTCAGATGTTGCAGGAATGATTTGGTAATTCAATTTGTGAAACGTAGTTGATTTGGACATGTTGAGAGCAGCACCAGTGACAGAGGTGCCTGTGAGGGATGCTAGAGTGCCGAAGACAACGGCAGTTTCTGCCTTTAGTATCCAAAGCTTCTCTTTAGGCTTGGATGGTGCACGAAGTAGCTTGATGCCTGGGCTGTCTTGGAAGCTTTCCTTGTCATCAGCATCTGCCATTGCCTCGTGCGTGAAGAGATGCAAGAGGCGTCCTTCACGCTGTGGAAGAAGTTCACAGGCAACACAGCAAGCTGAAGAGGGCGACCTTGAAATTGGTGACACATCTTATGAAGAGCTTTTCCCTCCAGCAGAAGCCCTGGAGAAATGGATCGATGGGGAAAAGCACATCTTGGTGAAATATGGAAAGCAACCAACGTGGGTGCCGGAATCCGATGTGGGCACCTATCGCTTCACAAAGCGAGGATATGAGTCCCGGGACGCAGACGGCAATTGGGTATGCCATGCGCAAATGCCAAAAGATACATCGCACTTGACTGATGCTCAACGTGAACGGCTCATCCTAGAATTGAGAGGGCAAATCTCTTTCAATATCTCAGATGGTGTTGATGAAGAAGGGTTCAGGCCTCTTCCCCAGGTTCCTCCATTGGAGAAGTGGCCATTTTACAGAGTAGAGGTCACTGAAGAATCAAAAGCAAATAGTGAGCAGCTAAAGGATTTTCAGTTGCTGCAGCTTACGGAGGATCTTCCTCGGGCCTATTTCCTGGCGAACCGCTGGAAAGTTGCCAATGAGGGAAGGCGTGCGCTGGGATATGGGGTGAACACAACCATCAACGATGTTGCCAACATGAATGGTACCGTGCTGGGCTTCAAGGCCATGGTAGACCAACTAAAACGAATCTCGAAGTTTCGCAGAAGAAAGGATGAAGATCCAATACCATCAGATGCCGAGAGGCTTCAGAAACTACAATGTACATCTTTGCTTGGTACTGACAAAGGCTCTGCCATGGCTTTGTGGTCGTTCAATGGCAAGAAGAACAAACTCATGATTGATCTTTGTTTGGGAGATGACTGTATGGATCAAGGACCATATGCTGAGGAGATTCTGCTGCGGTACTTAGTGTCTGAAGGCGACAAGCTTGGCGCTGAGACAATCTGGTGCCGTAGCCGACGAACTGAAAGCGGGAAAGTGTTTTTGCCACCGCCGATGAGGAATGTTGGATTTACTGCAGTTCCAATTGAGGAGCAAGAAGAAGAGGAATGGGAAGCCTTGGAACAGATAAAGCGGGAGGAGGAAGACACTGAGGCAGTTCCCGGATTGAAGTTGTGGCTGGCTACTCGTGATCTTGACGACTTCCTTTCAGATGCCAATGGCTGGTGCGAGGAGATGGGGGCGACAGATTTGAATGAAGTCGCTGACAATAAGTATGATCTTGCAGATTTCTTAGAAGAAAGAGGCCTCTCTTCAGAGCAACGTGTGAGGTTAGTGCAGTTTTAGCCGAGCCATAGGCACCATGTAAATTGTTCGGGCTGCCGGGCTCAACACTGCAGATGTGAAACACTGCAGCACCAACTTTTGAGCGTCATGACCGCAGTTTTGCACCAGCAATTGTCTTTGTCAAAATTATCAAACTATACAGCTTGCTGAAACAAGGTGCGTTAGGTGCGTTGTAGGAAAGGACACCGAGTTTCCGCCACAATCCAGGAATTCAATTCTGCAAACGATGCCAGTTTGCTGAGGCTTGTCCTCTTCAATGGCGTAGTTGAGGCAAATTCGTGAACTTTTCTGCTGCATGTTTTGCTGCGTCATGTGCAGGTAACGGCTGGTGGAAGGTACATATGCAAGCTGAGAGATGGTTCCATCATTGGAGAGGCCGCAGCTACAGCTGCGAGTTCTGAAGACTTGTTGAAGACAATGATCGCCTGACTTGTTGAAGACTTGTTGGGTACTTTTAGTGTAGCCAATGCAAGTGTGTCTTGATGCCTTGACGATAATCCCGCAGTCTCTTGTGTCGTAGAATCTGTTGTGGAGTGCTCATTTTGATCAGCTACTGCTGTGGCTCAAGGACTGCAAAATACAGCAATAGACAGGCCTTTGATTCTGCTGGATCGGTTGGCACTCACTATCTCCCTCTCTCTCTCTCTCGTACTTAATGCTCATGTTTTCGCCTATGAAGTTTCTACGGTCTTTTTTTATAGGCCTGACAAATTACATTCTGATCTTCTGAGCTCAAGTCTACATTAACCTTCTGTAAATGGACACGAGAAGCGATGCTGAAGCTGCTTGCCTTTCAAATAGAGCCTTCTCTCTTGGATGGAATGATTGTGTTGTGTATTTCTTGTGAGCTGCCTTCGTGTTGTGGATGAGGTATCAACCATTGTGGTCTTTTGTCCTTTTGCTGCGGTGTCGGTCAGATGATTTGGAGCTCAGCCTGAGTGAGCCTAGTCGAAAATGGGAACGTCAATTGAATCGCAAGATGCTGCCAACAGGGCAACATGTGTCATATTTGTCAGCTTTGACTTGTATTACTTTTGTGCTGAGGCCGGTGTTTGTGATGCTGCTGGAAATTGCCAGCCAGAAGAACGGTTTCTTTTTGCTAGCTTCAATTACAGGATTTGCACACACTGCAACTGACTGCTTCCTCGGTCAAATTGCGAAATAGTAGAACTAGATTATGCAGGAATGGCTTGGGTGATCAGCGCCTTCTTTGGTTCCAGACTGCCTTGAAGCTTGCGCACTCGTTTCGTCCCAATCGGACGCACGATTTACGTCGCTCATCCAGTCGTCGCCGAGGTTGCATCGAACCTTAGTGCTGTGGCAGCCTGAAACTACACCGGGAAGCTTAAATTCAGATGCGTTTTGACGCTTTCGACTGAGTCCTCCATTCTGGGTGCCTGATACGGATGGAGATTCTTACCAGGACAAAACCTTGTGAATTGTGGGTAGTGCTTTCGTTATTTGTGGGCCATGTTTTATGTCCACGGCTTTGTTACTTGCCCTGCAAAGGTTTGCCCACAGGTGTAGCTGCGCTGAGCAAAGATTTGTTAGGATATACCAGTGGTGAATCATTCTCGTGAATCATTCTCAGTCCTTTATTCAGTGCCCAATAAATGCGTAATCAGTGCCCAACCGCAGATTATTGCAGAGAATCAGGATGACAATGCGCATTTTGAGCCATTTGAAAACTTATACGATCCCGGAGCGCAGCTCGGCTAGTTTCAAGTTCAGACTGTCAGATATGCTGCATCAACACCGCCGCTGCTTTTACACAGCTGAATAGATGAGGTTTGAGGCCTACAATCCCTGGATATCCTATTCAGAGTTTCGAATGCGCACAAATTCTACGATGAGAATTGTCTTTGTGTCTCCAAGAGAGGCAAATCGTCACAGCCCTCACCTAAGTAAGACCTAGATTATCACACATGAAGATGGTGGATTTGGCATGAGTTCAAGCAGCTTCCAGTTGGCAGCTTACTGCAGGCATTAAATGTTCTTCTGGAGAGACAATCAAATCCCCTGGCTCGATGACAATCTTTGGAGACGAATGGAGGTATAAGAAGATTCGATGCGAGTGCCTCAGGCTGAAGGTTCCCAGCAGGAAAAGAAGACTGAGGATATATCTTGGAAATACCTTTCCACTGTAGTAATATTCTACTCTTGCCCACTGGAGTTTGGCTCAGGCCTGGAGACTCGTGAATTGATGGAACCATTCATGAGAAGCAAAGCCCAGGCTTGGAGGCCCAAATGCCAAAAGACGTTGGATGCGACTTGTTTGTTTAAGAATTGGATTGACCTAAGTCTTTGCAGCCAATGTGGCAGGTTCTGGCATCTTGATTGCAATGAAAGACAGCAGTATCAAGAGCTGCCTGAGCCCTTTTTTGTTGCTTTTTTGTCCATTTGGGCATTTTTTTGGCCACCAGGCACTAAACACTCGGAACAATCAAGAGCTGCCTGGATACAGTTCCTTGCCTATGATCGATTCAGCTGACTTCTTGCGTGAGCATTCATGTCTTCCATTCCGTGAAATGCCATGTGATGTGGTTTTTGGAAGACTAGGAATGGAGGTGCTTTCTCCAGGCTCGAGAAGTTTCTGCCCTTGACTCGTGCTGTGTGGCTGATACACTCTCACATGGATATGCAAACTTGCCATCAGGTGACTGCAATACAACGCAATGGCCATTCAACATGGCGTTCAACAAGACGTCGCTTGTTGTACAATTTGGAGACAGCTTTGATGCAAGTTCTTGTGGCTCGAAAGCGGTTCAGGCTTGTCAATGCTGCGCAGTCCTTCATGCAAAAAATGCCGACTTCTTTCATCGCTGTGCACTGGCGACACGGAGTCTTATTCAAGATTTATGAATCCTTGTCCTTGTGATTTTTACCCGCTACCCCTCTGTACGTTTGGAAGTGGATGTCTGACCTCAAGTGCAGTCTGAGTCTAGTTGTTCTGAGGAACGAGTATGCATGTGGACTCAGACCAGCTGGTTCAGAATGTGAATGCAATTTTGCAGAAGTATACCTTCAAGCCGCAGCACGTCTTTCTTTCCACAAATTGCCAGGACGTTTTGGGAGAGTTTGGACCACTGTAGCAGCGTGGTTCGAAGACTTGATGCTGTACACCACGTGATGTTCTGATGTTTTTATCAGGAGACCAACGACCTGTTGCTGCTGGAGAAGCAGCTTGCTTTGCCCATGTCCCAGTTCAAGGAGACTGTTGAAGGTTGCCCAAACCTCATCCACTACTTGGGAAATGGCAGGATGATGCCTTTGCTCCCTGGCAACGGGCATTAATAGAGCCTCGTCTTTTTCTAGAGCTGCCTGCCATGGTAGGCGTAGGCCATGGCAGAGAATCCGCTTTGCCAAGGATATCATCATTGCCAGCGAGGCACCTTACTTCATTCCTTCAAGCTCCTCCAGCTCTTTTGCAAAGGTGATCCTGCCCCTTGTCATGTCGTTTAGAGAACTAGTGCGAGACTTCTGGGCGAGACTTCTGTGAAAGCGCCAAGGTTCCACCGAGTGAAAGGGAATCGCACGTTTGAGCAGACCAAAGTGCATTGCTGAAAAAGTCTGAGATGAACTCAGACGGGCAAGTTCTACCTCCAGGAGTAAAATGGTACACAGCATTGGGGGATGGGGAGAAATCCAAACCACCAACCTATACCCTATGGTCAAGGAACATTGGATGCACACAGCACTCCGCAGAGTGTTCCAAGCTGATCCTTCAAAGTCTTGATAGATACTGTGACATACTAGGTGACTCTGTGTTGTTTCAAGAATGGCAAGATGCATGCCAAAAATCACTGTACGTTGTGTGTCAGACCGCCTTGCTGAACGTTGACAATCGCCGCACTGCTTCTGTCAGATCATTGACGCAAACTCCTCAGATGACACATACTTGGAACATGTTGGAACCCGCTGCTTTGGTGATTCAGAATCTTGCTTTTTGTTGATTTGATAATGTGATATAGGGAGTCAGAATCAATCGCGAGGAAGTGTGACGTGGCCATCATTTCCAGATTTAGTTTTCACTCTATCTTGGAGACACCAGGTTGCATTTAGTCTGCAAGCGACACAGATGCAGATGAAACACATTGTACTTAGTACTTGTTGTACTGGTAAAATCCGGGCACTCAATCAGAGCAAGTGAGCAACCATTATGTTGCCTGGAGCTGCAGGAAATATCCATGGGAGAAACGAAAGCTGGCTCCTAAGCGCGCGGGGTGCTACCAACTTGGCCCACTCAGCAAGGAAACACGTGGACAGGTTTCAAAGAGAGATGAAGCACAAACTGATGGAACTAGGCGCGATTCACAGTGCGGAATTTTTGCAGAGGAACTTTGTGTCAACCAACAACAGGAAAGCTGATTGACGTCAAAGAAGATATCAATTTGGAACAGCAGGCCTGGGCAAATTGCAGTTGGGGAGGACTTCGCAAGTTTGCATTCAAGCCTGACACAGGCAACGCAATGCGATGCTTTGAAGAATGTACCCTTCTTCTCTGATCCCAGCGATGCTATGCACGAGTTCGTCAGAGGCCTAGCAGGGCGTAGCAGATAACCTTAAAATGTAGTGCTTGAGATCCAAATGTGAACAGAAATGCCAAGGTAGCCGAGCTTGCTATGAACACGTGAGATCCTCAAACGACTGTACCTTTGCATGTGGTAGTCTGCTTTCAGAGCTGACAAGGTCCACGTACTGGTACAAGCCTGGCAAAGTGCTTGTGGAGGCGAGACTGGCGTCTTGCCTGCTGTGTCCACATGTATATGTACCATGCACTGGCAGGAAGGGGATACAAACTGCGAGGAAATGTTCATTCTCCTGCGCCAGGGTTTTAGATAGCAGGATCTTGTGCAGAATCAGCTTTTGAGCACCAAGCCTCTTTCTCCTCCATCCTTTCTGAGGTGGGTCATGTGAGGTATATTCCTGTGGTCAGCTACTGGGCAGGACATCCAGCCTGATTTCTCGCCTGACATTTTCTGCAGCAAAACTCGCCAGGATCGAGAACGATGTCATTGGAGAGATTGGTGTTTTGGACCTGCCTCTCTAGCATGATTCTGATGAGTGACTTTGTTGAAAAATGATTCTCTGTGAGCTTTTTTGACGGACTCATGCTGTTGTACTAATTTGCTTGTTCCTTAGCAGGCTCGAGCGCCGTACCGCCACAGTGAAGACTGCCACAGCCTGCCAATGCATGAAGCTTTCTCGACAGGTGATATGCTCAGGAGGAGAGGTCCTTGACATTTTTCTGTGGTTTTACGTGAATTTGAGGTGATGGTTCCCATTCTGGCAAAGTATCCAGAAGCCAGACTTCGAATGCCAGGGACTTTCATGCTTCCTCAATCTTCGAACGCTTTGACTTTGTCATGAACCGTCATGGACCTGCAATGGCATTCTAGAGTTTTTGTGCTTCCAGGTTGGAGCTGGCCCGCCAACGCCTCACATCCATCAACGAGTCCATCAATGCACAGGACACAGACACCAAGCAGTTGTTTCTTCTGAGAACCAAAACCCTTGTCCAACAGGAGGAAGATGTCGCGGGATCAACGCAAGACCTCTGTGGACGTTTGCCAGAAGCTTGTCTTTTCTGGCTGTGCTTGGCAGAGGATGCTTCATAATTCTGAGAAGCAGTTTCAAGATGCATGTAGTGTAGAGAGTGTGCGTATCAATGTCCAGGCCTGGGTGTGCAATTGGCTTCGGACCACATGTCAACTCTGTCAGCGGCCCGTACAATGGATTGTGCAAGTAGGCATCGATTGTGGATCCACATCCTTCCCTGAAGCTGCAGCCTGCTCAAAGATCATGGATGTTCAAATCGGAGATGCAGAATCCTGTTGGTCTAGCAGACTATTATGCATCTTTTGGAACATGACATGCTTCCGAAGAGTTTATGCATGAACACTCATGCTACCACACCCTGAAAATTGGAAACTACAGTAACTGTTGTTTAAACAAGAGCACATTGAAGAGCTTGACGAGGAAGATTCTCATAGATGTAGAAGAGTCAGCTAGGAATGGAGGCTATGCCAGCGCTGCGCCGTGCCGGAACTGGAGCCCAGTCTTGGCTTTTGCCATCAACCATAGCACGAGTCCCGATTCTTCGGTCTCATCCCAGATGTTCGAGATGGTAGCCGCGTATCCAAGGTCTGCTTCTCACCTTCGCTGCATGGACTCCCAAGGCAGATCAGGGTGAAGGCCAGGCAAACACCTTAAGCAGGCTCTGGCAAGCTGGAAGTGAGATTATTGTAAAGGCACACCGTCACCAGAGATAATATGCTTTGTCACCACAGAAGTCAAGCGTGCTAAAACGGTGCAGAACAATGTGCAGCTGCAAAGTCTTCCTCCTGCGCTTGCAAACACCCCAGTGCTGGCCACAGTTTTTGACGGTATTCACAACTTGGCACACTGGAGGCCGTTGCTAGTAGGTTGGAGGCCATCGCTATTAGGTTGGAGGCCATCACTATTTGGTATTATACTACTGACTAGTAACTTAGGACTTGTCGGACATACACGCCAATTCCAAAAGCCTATGTCATCAGGCCACAACCATGATATTCATAGAAATATGTATGAGGTATTCAAGGAAGCAGCGCCCGCAAAAACACATAGTCGCACCCTATGTCACCACTGTGTCACCAGGGTGCCAGGCAGTGGTATCTAGCATTATTTAGCTGTTTTTTTGCTTTTTTTGTCAAGGAGGTGTCCACAGGTCCTATGACACCAGGTTTCCCAACCCAGACATTTTTTTTGCTCGATATGTCAGGGCACATGACTTAGCCCTGGGGGTAGCCAGATTGGTATGTCACTTGCATCACGTTGGCCTAAGTCATTAGACAGTAGTATATATAGGTTGGAGGCCATTGCTAGTAGGTTGCTTTTACCATGTAAAGATATACTCAACTTATTCAACTGCTTGCTGCTTCGCCCTCAATCCTCTGACATGCGATTCGGAGATGTGCCAAGGTTTCTGAGCAGTTGGTCGTTTGGCAGCCACTGTTTGCAGCTGTCCTCATTTTCTCTACATATGCAGCTTGTATGCAGAAATCATTTTGGACCACCCTTACGCAACATGTGAATAATGTTAATATGAGTCATAGAGTGTGACCAAAGGCATACATGCGATCCTTCTGTTTAGGCCTTCATCATTTGGAAATCTGGGCGTGCTACAGATAGCAGAGACCGCCGCATGACCAAAGAGTTGGAACTCCGGAGACTTCGTGGTGCTCAGCTAGTGCGTGGTGGAGGTGCCTTCAACGCGCTGACATGAACACTTTTCCTTGTGCCGCCGTGAAAGAGCACTCTTCTTATTAGTAACAGGTGCCACGCTAGTAGTAACAGGTGCCACGCTAGTAGTAACAGGTGCCACGCTAGTAGTAACAGGTGCCACGCTAGTAG